TCGGCGAACTTGGCCAGTCCGCTTCTGACTCCAATGTCCACATCATTAATGAAGATGTTAAACAATATGGGTCCAAGGACAGAGCCTTGGGGGACCCCACTGGTCACAGGGGACCATGACGATTGACTTCCATCAATTACCACCCTCTGGGTCCAACCACAGAGCCAATTTTCAAGCCAGAGGATTGTGGTGGACCCAAGGCCACAGTTGGCTAGTTTCGCCAAGAGGGGATTGGGGATACCAGATTGAGGGCTTCTTTGAAGTCAAGATCTGACATCAGTTTCTTCTCCCTTGTCCAGGTGATAGGCCACCTGATCATAAAACGAAGTGAGATTGGTCAAGCAAGACCTACCCGCAACAAACCCATGCTGGCTATCCCTCAGGATGTTGGCATCTGCCAGTCCATTAAGGATGGCCTCATCTGACTTCATCTGCTGCAAGTTAAAGTCAGAACAGTTAAACACAACCCTCTATAAAAATCCTTTTTTTTTTTCTGGCTTGTTCTTACTTGCCCAAGCAGAACTTCCAGGAGAAATCTTTTCATAGCAAATTACAATGCAGTCAAGGGTACTCCTGCTTTGCCATGCACAAGCCCCATCTCACCTCATCGAAGTCCAGATTCTTTTTCCTTGAGCCAAGTGGGATGACTTCTTTTAAATCAAAGGTCATTCTGAGACCTACACTACTCAAGATGAAGTCTTGAGCTTTTTCAGCTCTTTGAATTCAGAGCACCATTCTTAGACTCAGCTGGTTTACTCAGTTTTCACAGCTTGCTCCTGTTACTAGAAGTGGTGCTGATAAAATGAAGAGTGAATTAGACTAAGAGCCGGCCTTGGGGGTGGGTGTCATCTGCACGTGTACACAAAAACAGGTACCGCAAGTAGAAGGTAGCAGTGCTGGCCTGGGGCATTGCTTGGCAGGCAGGGGCTGCCCCAGACTCCATGCATGGGGGCAGCAGTGGGAGTGGCACCTGCTCCTGCCTGGGTGGAGCACGGTGTGGTGGGGTAGGGTGAGGTGGCACATACAAGGAGCCCTGGGCTGGGTCTTGTGGCCCACAGAGGATAGAAGAGGGCACAGACTGAGTCTCACCTGCATGTAGTTCGTTGCAAGTCAGGCCCTGGAGGAGTCCTGTGGTGGATGCAGGGCAATGGATCCTTTCTGGCAGTACTTGCTGGCTGCTCGCTGCAGGGTCCTGCTGCCTCCACTTTGGCTCCATGGGGCTGCAGCTGGCAGTCCCAGTCATGGGAAGATGACCTGCTCAGCTCCCCGGCCCATCAGACAGATCTCCTCTGTGGCAGGGCAGCAGCACCAGCAACTTGTGGAGAGGGGAAGGACAGGGAAATACAAAGTTTACTCAGGATACCATTTTCCCTTAGGCAAGCTCTGGCCTGCACCTTATTAGAATTTTTCAGTAAGGTTTTAGTGAGCCCTGCAATTATTCCTATTTGAACTTGAAAGTATTATCTTCACACCTGTGTAACAGTTCAGCCCAGAGAATGTTTAATACTGATGAGACAGGCAGATCTCAGCTTGATTTTCATATTTCAGCATGAAAGCTGAAAGGGGAGGTGGAGAGCGGGATGTGTGTTTTCCTTGTAAATGGGGCTTGAGTACTCCCTAAGATTTTGAAGGTAAGCAGAAAAATGCCATTTTTTAAACAAATCCAGTTCTTAGAGTGAGCATACAACTTTAAGAGTCTTATTACAAGTATGTGTGTAAGTATTCATATTTTCTAGGGTCGGAAGGGACCTGAGCAGATCATTGAGTCCGAATCAAGACAGGTAGACTTAAGTAGTGCCTGATATTGTAGTATCTACATGCCAAATAATTCTTAGTCATGT